TGCGTCCTCATCAGCCTACAGTTGCAATTAGCGGGATATTTGGTAGAGTAAATCTTGGTCTTGTTAAACAAAATATCAGCTATTTGGGAAAAAGAGGGCTAATTTGTGCTCGTCCGAGCTAGTTTGTGATGAGTGTATCGGTCTGGTGAAGATGCAATTTCGAGCTTTGGGATAATATCAAGAGTCAGCAAATAGCAGGTTATTTGGCAAACTCGAGCTGATGAGGACAGGCCTATTATTGCTCTATTACTTGTGGCTTTCGTCTGTCAGACCATGGTCCCTACCACAATGGATGACATTCCACTCTTACACAACATACCTATGAGTCATCTCAAACATTATCTTCAATAACTCACAGAGCACTTTTAGGTCATCTTGACCCGAAGTACCTAAACAATATCATCAAAGCTACCAACACCTCTGCACACTTCTGTACACCTTACAGTGTATATTCCATGCTCATAATACATTGAGTACGCAAAGTAAATAGCATTTGTCCAATAGGGAGAGCTTCAAAATCTATCTGTCTATCTTGTCTTTTTTGTGTTTTCGTTTTCGTTACTTTGTTTCAGTTCCTTTTTGTTTGTGTGTTTGTTTTTCTTGTCTGTTCAGTATCTCAAGCATTCTGAAATAATTTTCATCAGGTAAGGTGCTCTACAGAGTAAATGGGTACAGATCAGTTGTTACTTTATGCAGGTGTTACATATAATCATTAAAATCACTGTTAAATGTAAATGTCAACAGATTTTAGAGGTACAGTGAACTGTATCGTTATGCAATGTACTCCAAAATCGCTCCACATTCTTTCCTTCTTTCAACTAATGGAAACAACTCAGACTCTCTCCTCTCTTAAAGTCTTAAAAACTGCAAATAAAACCTCTTTTCAAAAACACCAACAAGTAGAAAATGTTGGCAAACAACTGCCCACCACAAAATGGAAACAAGTGGAGACAACAGTCCTGGATTATTCTAATGACCACTCTCCAAATAAGCAGACCAGGAAAGGGACTCCAGTCATAGTTGATTCTACCCCTTTGGAATTAGTCATGACAATACACTCTGCAAACAGACAGTGTTTGAAGTTTCCTTGAGTTTGGAAGAAACAACTTTCCAAAAGCTAAACTGTTGACATCTTTGAGTGGCTAGTCACCATCTGCTTGTTCATGCCATGGGTATGCATGGACTAATCTGACTAACTTTGCAATTTGGAACTTGGATAATTAGAGTCTGACCCTGCCTATGGACCTAGAAGTTATTCTGTGCATGCCCTACCCTGTATGACTTGCTGAAGTGAAAGAGCACTGAAGGCCTCAAATTTTGGAAAGCTTCTCCTTATGAAATATGAATGAAACTGAACACAATAACAATCTTTCAGAAGCAATGAAAGTCCTATATATAAGACATTTCTGCAATGTTTTAAACTGGTTAACATAGCAATTTGAAACGAGTGATATCAGTACTTTCACATTCTAGGGTTAACTTGCTTGCTGTCATTTGAACAACATTTGTTTGGAGCCAGAAGGGCTCACACAAACAATATCCACCCATCTTTATTTATCCCCTGGCTCATGCTATAGCAAGTCTGCTAAGGCTGCGACGGGTAGTCGAATGCTCGAGTACCCGCACGGTTGACAACTACTCGGGTACGATTTCTTGTACCCGAATATTCGGCCGCAAAAAAAAAAAAAAAAAAAAAAAAAAGAAAAAAAAAAAAAAAAAAAAATGTCCAGGCCCACGCTTACCCGTGCCAGGGAGAGCAGCGTCCGCTGGCATGGTACCGTCGGTAAAAATGTTTCCCAACTCAAGCACTGTCAAACTCACCTTTCAGAAACTGGGACCAAATGTCCAGATTTCTGTTTGGACTTGGAGGAAAATGGATTATTCTGCCATCTTTGGTTTTTAAAACAGCATTGTTTACTGTTATTATTCTTATTAAATCGGCGCCTTCAACTGCAACTCAAAGTAAAGTTGCATGCGTTTTCAGCAAGGGACTTGAGAAACTGCCGAGAGGTATGGTAGTGGCAAAAAAAGAAAAAAAAGAAAAAAAATCCAAAAATCCAAATATTAAAAAAAAATCAAAAAAATTCAAAAAAAATTCAAAAAAATTCAAAAAAATCAAAAAAATTCAAAAAAATTATAAAAAAATATGGCATCCGAATACTCGAGTATTCGCCTGTGAGCCTGGGAGTGTACTCGGGTACCTCATTACACTGTTGTGCACAGCCCTAAAGTCTGCCATTCAGGAACAATTGTAGAAAGAAATGACCAAATTGTGAAGAAAAAATAGCTAAAATTGTATTCAAAACAAAAAGAGATTTGCCAACATTTACAATCAGTGGATCATAGCATCTGCGCATGATCACACAAGCAAATTTTCCAACTAGCCAGGATGTCATAAATTTGTCAAAATACTTAATCACCCAGATTGTATTGGTAGCTTCTGAGATACATGGTTAGAGCACTTCATCTTGGCATTTGTTCATACATGATACATGTATGTTTTTGATCAGTTGCCACTTTCAGGCTGAATCTAAAGATTTTTATCTTGGGTGCAATCAAAGCTGATAATTTTTTTTCTTCTTCAAAACTCAATGTACTTCTTTTTTTAATTTCAATACAAAAATATCATTACAATCTTGCTATTCTGTCTATTTTTATGATTAATTCAAACACACACAATTTGCACTCCCCTGTGTTGTTGCGGTTTGAGAATAGGCTGCACTAATGTACACATGAAATGTGAGGAAAATATCAGAATGTACAAAGCAAAATATGCATGAGATTCTCTAAATTGTAGAATCGTTGGCATGCTTTAGAAAGCTTCTACAGCTCCTCTTAATATCTACCTTAGAGTCTAACTCGACAAAAGCATTCCGCCTGACTTGCCTCATATATCTTTCACTCGATTTCACTGACAGAATATCAGAAAATTGATAATGGCAATACACACCTGGGTGAGCGCTAAGAATAAATATATCGGTTTCAATCGTAAGTGCGTTGAATCTTTCATGCTTGGCTGGGTTCGTCTTGGCAACCGCACTGACTTCGCAATCCGCGATAAATGCTTAAATTGTTGAGAGAAAAAAAATTGCAGAGGGATATCATGCTGATTGTACCTGTACTTCTTAAGTCAGCTTCAATAATTTCACATATGGGCATATAATTCTCTACAAGATTTCAATATAAAATTTATAATCTACTTTATTAGATGAACTTCAAAGAATGTACTTTGGGATGAAATCAGTTAAATTCTCTCTTACAAACGGATTAATGATGACTTATCAGCTCACAATGGATGAAAGTAAACAAGACCCTCAAATACCCTAGTGTGTGGATTGTGTTGCTAATCCCTACAGAGTTCAACTTTTTGTTTGCTGAAAGCTCCAATGCATTGAGTTTTCAATTACATAGAATAAACAGAAAAGTGTGAAATTAATACCTTAGAGCACACCCAATATCTTGAAAAGTCCACTTCTCACAAATTTCTTTTGCTCATAATTTTACAAAGACATAATCAACTTACAATCAAACATGAGAAACTAATGCATTTTTACCATACAATAGGCTCCCCACATACATTATGTACCTCAAAGACTCTCTACAATACAAGGACTTCATGCATGTTTTCATCAAAGAAAATATACTCTAATCAAATTTGGGGAAATCCTAATGAATTTTTGTTTATTAATTCATGATAAAAAGCACTTTGCTATAAGCGCAGAACAAGTATTAAGCATGAAATTGCAAAGATATGATACGCAAGAGAGATAGGCAAGAATTGATAGAAACAAATAAGAGAGAAGAGGAATGGATGAGAATTGATAGATGATTGTAAAAAGAAGAAAGAAATCAGGGAAAGAGAGATGATGAGTTTTGGCAATATAAAAAATGAAATAACAAACAAGAAGAGATGTGGGAGATAAAAAGAGGAATTGAAAATATATGCAAGGTGTGTATTATAGCTAAATATGCTATTACTAGAGATAGAATACAGAGTGAGAAAGCTACAGGCTATGGCAGGCAATGATATTCATCCTCTCAATTCAATGAATGAAAGGTGTATGAGATACTTCCAACGGGCCATGAATAAAACATTCACCAGGCAAAAAGGGTTTCCTTGATGGATCTCCTGATGAAAAATAAATCCCATCACTTGAAAGATTTCATCCACAAAAAAGAAAAGAATAGGTGTCACGCATGCAAATTCATATACAGCGAAGCAAGGAAGTTCTGTCGTTCATTGATCGGTATAGAGATGCATGCAGAGTCTTTCAGTGGGGAGCCAATTTGGGACTATTTGCAACCGAAAATTGGATCTAAGTTTGGAAATTTACGTAAATTCAATGAAAAAGAAGGGATACAATATGGTTGTCTGCATTCCAGAGAATTTGACATCTCTTTCAAGTTGAGACTTCATTTGTCAATTTTTTTTTCTTTCTCTCTTTTCATTGAATGGAACAGCATTGTGCATATCATGGGTACATATATAAAAACCTTTTTTTCCTCCTCCCTTTCAAAACAAAATCAGTAATTACTGATGAGGAAAATGTCTGATAATTCTGTTTTAGAAAAGTATATGTTCTGCTGTATTATGGTCCACTTACATGCTTCAGAATAATGTCACTAGGTACCGTATCGAAACTATCCACAGAAATCAATGCAGCAAATTTGACTTTAATACTGTCATTTTGTCTAGTCCTTTTTCTTTTCTGTCAAACTACATATGGTTCAAATACTTCAGAGATACTGATTCCATTTTCTTTTTCAAAAGTATGAACATATGGATGAGCATTCAAAGTCACGTACCTTGATGGCGATTAATTTTATAATCTTTCTTCAGATGCCCTAAATATCTCACCATAATTTCACTTTGAATATCGTTGGTAGGAAACAAAATCCAAGATGAATCTAAAGAATTACATCTTCAATCATAATAAAGAAGCTGATCTAAAACAATATAAACATAGTGTAACTGACTTACACATGTTACAGATACCTACCTGGTTTCAATATTCAGCAGATTCTTGTTGCCATGGCGAAGAGCAGTTTGAGCCCTAATTTATGGTAATGGAGAACAGCTCTGGAAATTGCTACCTGAGAGAGAGATAAAGCAGAACAGAAGGAAATGAGTATGGGTATTATAGATGAAGCTTAACAAATGCATGTTGATCAATCCAACCCCATCTCCAATCAGTTGTGATAAATATTCCAATGTTTCTCTTTCACAATTTCTTCTTCATACAAGAATCTATTCCTCAGAAGCCTTTTTATTTCTTTTCAAATCTCAGAATCCTGTAACGGTTCCTCTTGGTACCTGCCTAATTTTCCTTCTTTTCTCATCTTCCTTTTCTCTTCCCCCCCCCCAACTTCTTCCTCCCTCCATCTCCCACTCAGACTCTCCCTCTCTCTCTCACATTTTTATTTCTCACTTTATTTCCACCCTCTCTCTCTCTCTCTTTCTCTCACTCTCTCTATCTCTTTCTCAATGTTTTATTTCTCGTTTTATTTATCACTTTATTTCCACCCTCTCTCTCTCTCTCTCTCTCTTTCTCTCACTCTCTCTATCTCTTTCTCAATGTTTTATTTCTCATTTTATTTCTACCCTCTCTCTCTTTCTCTCCATCTCCCTTCTCTCTCTCTCTCTCTCTCTCTATCACTCTCTCTCTCTCTCTCTCTCTCTATCTCCCACACCCCCTCCCTCCCTTCCTAATGCCCTCTCACTGGCTGTCTCATTCATTGGATCTAGGCCTGCATATTTAACATATACAACTATTTATCAATATCTCTATTTATTATGATCATAGGTGTACATCTACAAACAGGAGGGAAATGAGATGTTAATTAAGGTATCAAATAGAGACAACAATTTAAAAGCAAAAATCAATTTCTTATCATGAGAAACAGCTACAACTATTGTCTGCCTACCAGACTTGTTTTGGGCTTGCTCAGTCATGCACAGGCAAAAACAAATAATAGCAGACATTCCTTGAAATTATTTCCTGTTGGCTTGACAATTAACCAACACTGTTTTTCTCATTGCTCAGTACACACAATGCATGTGTGTGACATGAATGCATTTGACAGTCTGGCATTCCCGAAAGACCTGCAGTTACATAAATTAGGTAGCAGCTATGAAGTTGAAGGCCTACCGATTTGATGAGGTATTAAATGTAGCTTTGTTAAAATAACAGTCAAATCATGTAACAACTGATTAAATTTCACAATCAAGTGTATGATCACACAGACTGTAGTATAGTTATCATAAAACTACAAATATGAAGCTATACAGATTCACTCTGATTGACATGAAGTATGATAGGCCTGTTAAATTCTTATTCAGCAGAACAAATAAAAAGAAACATATCAAGACTACAAGAAACACTGCTAGAAAGAGAAGTTAAAGGTAATACAAAGTTTTGGGAAATTTTGAAAATTGGGTGGATAGTGAATCTTTACAATTTTGATATATTTGGATGCCCCTGTGGATGTATTATAAGCACTAAAAAAATTAGCTCCTAAAACACTTCTGTTTTCGAGAAAAATTGAATATAAAAATTTACTGGTGCTCCCGGTAAATTTTGATAAATTTCAAATAGCGCCTATGGCCGTACAATCGTAGCTGCGACCATGAAAATCTCAGAATATGTAGTTGGGATATATAATTTCCTAACGGGAACAGCTAATCGGTCGATTTCAGTCAAGAAACATTGTTTCATAGCTAAATTAATATCTTGACCTTGAGAGGGAGCTATACAACATAAAGAGTTTATTATTTATAATTTCATAACTTTAGACTCGATTTCAACCGCGACAACGATCAATGTATATTGTAGGAACGCATATGCTTCTAATATGTTAATTTGAACCAAATTCATGACCCCATACCAAAACTTTGTAATACCTTTAACATTGTCTAAGGAAGGGGTAGAGACAAGGAAATACTTATACTTTCTTACATATATGCAATTACATCAGCCATCACTACTTCATGGCATTTCATTATATTTTGGAGATCGATAGAAGATTTGAAGATTAAAATAGATTCATTCAATAAAAGAACATCATGATTCATGTATGGAGCTCTGTGTATCTTGTTTTTATTATTTATACAGAAAGATCTCTTCTTCTTCTTCCAGTTAAGTACAGACCGCCGTTGGCGTATTATCGTACTTGTGCTTGTAGAGTGCCAAGATGAATAGTGCAAGTAAAAATCTAAGTCTGAAAGTGAATTATTTGGACATCTACATTGCAGAAGGAGAAACTGTTCGGGTTTACTTTAGACTAGTAGTAGGCCTAAAGGAAATATGAATGATAACAAAATTGCAAAATAAGCTTTCTTACTCTGACTCTAGTCTATGATACAAAAAAATTGTGAAGAAAAGTATGCTATAGCTTGCAAATTGTATTCAGGTCAAATCATCATCGTCATCAACACCAAATCATCACCATCTTCATATTAAACATCACTATCACGATCATCATCATTATTTTCACCATCATCATCTAAACCCTTCACATGTATCAGTACCATCTTTAGTTTCATTACTTATCATGTTCATATTTTCTATCCTACCAACATTCTCATCCACATCATGCACCAACAACACCACTACCACCACCACCATCACCAACACCACCACCACCACTACCACCAACATCATCACCTTAACCACCACTATAACGGTATCATCATCACACATACTCGCATTGACATCATCATCATCATCATAATAATAATATCACCATCATCATCACCACCACCACCACCACCGCAATCAGTTATCATAATACAGACCGCCTAATAATATAATTTGTCTAGAGGCAAGTTTTTTCCCCCTAATGCCTGCTCGAGATGGAGCACATGTTAAACATATAAATCTGCAGAAGCCTAGCTACAAATGGAATGCATCACTCGCTCGGCTGTCGGCCTGGCGCACTCCGTACGACCGCTGAACTTAAAATCTGCAGGAATGCTCACTCTCACCCTGCTCTCACTGAACACGCAGATAAAAGTATTGTTTTCGCTGGTTTTGTAACTCTTTGAATATTCGCAATGTGTTACCCAATCGAAAGAATTATAACACCCAAACACAACAAACTAAAACAACACTTACGATCACGTTGTACTGAAACAAAGGCGATCCCTAACAACAATAATAGAGTGGAGTTTCGCCGCTTTGGAAATAATAGGAACTTCTTAATTATCCCAGCACAATTGTCCCTCTCATTTATTATGCTACCTGCGTAGATAATGAACGTGTCTAATGAATATTCATATTAAAGTTTGACGCCGAGATGCCATTCTTTTTACTCCCCCCTCTTCTTTTTCAATGTTTTGTGTTTTGTTCCTTTGTGTTCTAGTAACCTATCTTCAGTTCACATTTCCACTATCATTATCATTTGCGCGAATTTTTATTCTGGAGACTCTTTATCTGGTAGATTCTTGTGGAGATGATTTTACAACAGAAAGGAGGGATCTGCTGTGTATTAAACATAGATGGCGCTAAACCACATACAGTACTTTCAAGCGAAGCCTTACATGTAGATCCTGTGTCCATGGCATTTCCGACTGACCATTGTGAAGGGCGGATCCAGTGATTTTTTGATTGAGGGATGAAAGGGGCATTTTATATACTGCGTATTTGTACCAGTAGCCATTACCTTGCTCATTCCGCTCCTCTTTTTATCAAGCTCAAAACCCTGAATATATTTGATTTATATCAGTATCATCTGGACGTATATACCAATTGGTCCTGTCCAGTACCACCTTAGATGTAGATGTACAGCAGTGCTAGGGTTCCTTTATTTTCATAATCTTCTTCCATATACCATTTCGAACATGTTCCCTACGAATCTTAGTATTCATAATTATAACACAAGAAATCGAACCAATTTTTATCGTTGGAAAATTATGTTTATGTATGAAGAAAAATCTCCTGGGTGTAATTTCCCTGTGATTTAGAATTCATTACCAAAATATATTCCCCTTTGCAATAACCAAAGATTATTTAAAAAGATATCTGAAAATGTATTATTTTGTCCATATACTGACATAAAACATAATCATATTTTCCAATATGCTGTTCCTCTGGCTTATTTCTTTATCCATTGTTTGTTTTTAATTTGTTTACATGTCTTTCAGTAACAGAATAAGTTGAGTAAACCAAATGATAATTTTATTTAGGGAACTTTTTTACAAAGCCTTTTGGCCTTATTTTAGCTCCCCTTTTCTCATTTTCGACTGGTAAATGTGGTCTCTTTGATACTGTAAACATGTACATGATTGCATGTATTTAAAAAAAAAATGTATAATATTGTTTTTATATGAAGATGGAAATAAATGGACAAATGAAGAAAAAAAAAGATATAAGATCGTACAAGTTCATCACTACCATTTGAAGAAACGCTGATAGGAAGGGGGAGGGGGGGTTGTATTTCTGTTAATGCATTAGATACACGGGGGTGTTGGATTTGAGAGGGTTCCCCTACCACCTTGAGAAACAAGATCTGAATTTTCCCAGGCATGAAGTGTTAATTGTAATAAAAAAAAAAAGGTATTCTAGCAAGAACTTTTTGTTTTGTTTTGGCTCCCGGAAATTAGGAAATCACGCCGATCGATAATTAGTGCAGAGGGGGGAGGGGGGGGGGGAGTAGTGAAAGAAGTATTTAAAAAAAATTATTTGCCCCCGCAAATGTAAAAATCGCGCCGACCGATATTGCGCTCAGTGAGGAGGGGGGGGGGGAATAATGAGTATTCAATTTTTTCCCATAAAACCCCCCGCGTACGCACCTGCTAGTAGCTATAGTGCAGTCCCGCTTTTAAACTGAAATTCCGCTTGTTTACGTACCTAAAATCGTTTATGTTAATATAAAACGTATATTTAAGTTTCTATTTTGAAAACCTTGTATTCATTATTTTGCTATTTAAGAATACTTTATTCCGTGTCTTTGAGGAAAAGGGGGAGGGGTAAAGGGAATATGATAGAGTGTCTTCATTCTTTAACCCTCCTCTCTCTCTCTCTCTCTCTCTCTCTCTCTCTCTCTCTCAATTTTCATGTGCTCTCTCTCTCTCTTCCAATTACCCTCAACCCTTTTCTTTTCTTTCTCAATTTTCTTATATCACTCTTATTTCCACGGAGTCAAATGCACTCTGAATGGCGTCAGCTGGGAGTCAACTCTATTCCTAGTTAAAGTGACACTGAAAAGGAGTCATCTTGACTCTGAATTGAGTCAATTCTCAGCTGATGCCACACAATCCGAGTCAAATTGATTCGGAATCCGTGTCACTTTAACTAGGAATAGAGTTGACTCCCAGCTGACGCCATTTAGAGTGAAATTTGACTCCGTGGAAATAAGAGTGTATGCCCTGAATTCTCTTTGCAAATAGCTTCTTCTTTTTTAAACATTAAAAAAACCAACAAAAAAAACCCAAAACGAGAATATAACAAAACAAAATAAAACAATTTAAAATAAAAGAAAACAAGACAACAACAATATACCTAACAACAGCAAATGTTCCTCCGTACTGGATCGTTAGAAATGGTATCCATTTTCTTTCCTTTTGCAAGTCAGAAAGAAAATACATATTTTTATAAATGTTATTGTACAGGGACGAGGGGGGGGGGGGGGGACCCTTGTGTTAGGGAACTTTAATAAGCCAGATGGGAAATTCAAATCTTATCCACTATGTGGGTCATGGGAAATTTTTCAGGGGGGGGGGGGTGTCTCCTAGTTGATACTCTTTGGGGTTACCGGGGAAGAAATTTACAGGAAATCGTTCGGTGAGTGGGGTACGTTGGTCTGGCCCGGTTCAATTTTTTGTTTGTATTCAATATATCCTTGCAAGTTGGTTATGACTAATATTACTCCAGCTGATTATAACGAGTCGATCTCAGCGGACATTGGCTTTCCCGTCTGGCACCACTGAATAGAGAAAGTAGCCTATTAAAACCAGTAAAGTGCAGACGAATTACTTCTTTTCTTCTTTTGTACCAATAACCACCGAAGCCCCTGAACTGGAAAACCAAGCTTTCCTGAATCCTGATATGGCACAATCAAGGGTGGTTTAAGGATTCTGTAAAAAGTGGGGTTGTCACAATCCAGCAAATTTTCTGACAAGATCCCCTAAATTATAACATGTATCTGACCCCTTGTCTTTGGGTCGACAATAAGATGGGCACACAACTGGGGGCACATTTTCCTTTAGACTTACAACGGGACACAGACTAGTCGTGACCCCTCCCTCCCCTCCATTCACCACACGCATGGAAGTGACTGAACATCTTGTACTCTTCAAATTACTCATACTGAAACCAAAATCTCTGCTCGAAATAGACAAGAAGAAGGAAAGAAAAAAAAAAACCGGTAACGAGGTTGCCGTGTTGATCTTGTGATCAATCACCTGATCAAACGCCGACGCACTCGCGACACGACAACAATCGACTGGAGGAGGTGAAAGAGATCAGAGATCGAACAATAAGTGACATGTTTGTGTAGATTTAGACCACCACTTGCGTGAGAAGTAAATGTCAGATTTCTGCTCAAAGTCTCAAATTCATTACTCATAAAATAGGCACAAAGAGGAATCATTAACTGGTATTCTCTTAGCGCTCTTGACAGTGGCATAATTCCATCGGAGACTGAGGCCATGGAGCCCCCGAATCGCTGGCTGAGGTGTACGCTGATGTGCCTTGTCGTATGCAGTGGGTTTTCTTCATCTGCTAGTGTTTTGTTTGGTCGGCGAATCAACAATAAATTGGAAGCAAAGATCAGCAGTCAAGGATGCAGTCACCCGCACAAAGAAAAATATTTTGAGCAGCAGGTACCATACTTTTAAATTCACAATTTTCTACAAAATTGATTTTTGGGCCGGTATAAACTATGGTTCATTACATTTCATTTCAGACTCTTAAAATGTCTTATCAATATGATCAGCATTAATCACCATTGACTCAATTGATTGAGTTATAATAATGGCAATTGGTAAACATAAAGTATTGGAATAATTGATCACGATGCCACAAGTACATGTATACTAAAGATTGAAGAGTCCTCTAAAAAGTAAACATAGTCTACACAAATAATTTTGTTTAAAAATTAATCTGATAATCTGTGTATTTCATAGAGATCGTGCTAGGTCGATAGGTATTTACTTTGTGATTTATTTATGACATTTTTTCTTCTTTTTGTTGCTCTTGCTTGTTGTTTTCGCACGTTTGCAAAAATAAATAGCAATCACAAGTTTGATATGTTACCATTCTAAATATTTCTGATTAGGCCATGTAAAATTGATTTCATGTTGATCGTCCCCGCCCGCTTCCTTTTGGGGGGCCGCCTCCTATTTTTTGTTATTTGTTATTTTTTTTTTTTTTTTTTTGATTTTTTTTTTTTGAAAGAAAAAAAACATGAAAAACACTGCTAAAATGGCTCTATTTCTGATTAAAAAAAAAAAAAATTGTCGGCGGCCATCTTGAAAAAAAAATAGCCTCGACTGTCGGGGAAAATGTACCGAGCGGCCATTTTGAGCGGCCATTTTGAAATATCAAATATCAAATAACATGGTACACCCTCCTCCTCTTTTTCAAAAAATCCGGACGATCAACATGTAATCAATTTTACATGGCCTTATATTTTATGATTCAGGTGGACCATTTCAGCTTTACCAATAGTGACACATTTCAGATGCGTTATTTGGTTTCAGACGAACTATGGACAAAAGGTGGACCGATATTCTTTTACACAGGCAACGAGGGAGACATTACCTGGTTTTGTGAAAATACAGTAAGTGTTTTTTTTAATGCACCAAACTTTTTAAAGTCGTACAATTTCAACCCAAATATGGATGATAGAATTTACATTTAATGTACTTTAATTTGATTTGAATACAAATAGTATAGGTTACACAAACCCCTGATGGAGGCTGCATAGCTTTTATCTTGGTGTAGGCAAACTTCGTTGTCATGATTTGTTTTTCTTCTCCCAAATAAATGTTATCATTATATCGTTAGAGACAATAATTTTTTTTTTACAGACTATGTGAATGTTTAATATTAATATTCAACCTCTTACAGAATCTTGATTTTTTTTTTTTAGGCTTTGTCCCATTGAGAACCGGTATGTCAACTCTAAACAAATCTTCAAATGATCCTTTTCATTCCTTCACACAGGGTTTTGTGTGGGATTTAGCTGTCGAGTACAAAGCGATTGTCATATTTGCTGAGCATCGTTACTATGGAAAATCACTGCCATATGGAAATGACTCCTACAAGGTAACTATGTCACCTCACCCCCCAAATAAAAAATCAAGAAAAAAAAATGTCCATTTTAGATTTGTCAATTGCAGAATTCTGTAAATGTTGACGTGCAAATTTGTCAGATGAGTTATAGTAATGATAATCTGGGTTGATATAATGCGTAATAGGTCTCTGGAAATTTCAGGGTCCTTGGTATGTAGTTTGCCCAGCAATTTGGACATTGTAAAATGGCGTCTGGCTTGAATGCTTCATATTTTACGGGCAAGCCTGAATCAGATGACCTGGGCAATAATGTATCTGTAAATTGTTTAGAGACATCGCCAATGTATGACGCACTATAACACTCAGATTATTATTACTATTAATCTGCTACTAATTGTGGGCTTCCAGTCTCAAAATATTCCCCTCCCTTCAATACGGACCAGTCCGCAATAATCTGCACAACATGTTTTGTAGGAAGTCCTCAGGAAAAGCTATGTACGGTATGTGAACAAGGTTATCATAGAAAGCTTAAGTGGGCAATAACATTCCTATACATGATTGTCCATTTCCTCTGCTCTAACCAGTGGGATGAAGAACTTCATCTTTCAAATCATGAATAATTGTTTTAAGTTTGATCCAACATTTGCTCTGGACAGCGACAATTGCTCTAGGCTCGTAGGGTTACAGGGTAAGGGTTGCGATTGTGTTTTAGGTTAGGGTACTTGGTACTTGTTTGGGTAATCCCTTTGGCAGCTCACTCAGGAAGCTATATACTGGGATGGTAGGTGAGGCAAGTATTAACTACAAGGAGTGTCATGAAGTGCTGGAATGGTGTGTTGACAAAGCACTTGTTTTTGTCTGGCTGGAATAACAACAACAGCACTGAAGGGGGGGGGGGAATCGAGAGAAAGAGATGGGTAAGTATTAGGATATCTGAAATTGTTTGGTTCCTGGTTGAAGTTGAGGCTTTGGTTAGTGTTGGATATCGACCGCATAGCAACCATCAGAGGAGCAAGTCTTATACAACCATTTCATTTGTCCAGGATGCTGCACACCTTGGCTACCTGACAGCGGAGCAAGCTCTTGCAGACTTTGCTGTCTTCCTGGACTGGTACAAAGCTAACACACTTGGAGGTGCCGCCGGCTCTCCTGTCGTAGCATTTGGAGGGTCGTACGGAGGGATGCTGGCAGCCTGGATGCGCATCAAATATCCCAATGCTATCGCAGGGTGAGTGGTATTTTCTGCAGAGCTTGGGATGAAATGGGAATAATTGAGGACATAAGGGCCCCGTCTTACAAACAATTTGTGATTGATCACAAATAATTTGCAATTTATGTCAACCGCAACTCTGTACCAGAGATAGGAGATGCAATTGTTATCGATTGCAATTACATGTATTTGTAATCAATCGCAACTGTTTGATTGAATATTGCTATCTGGGTTCTTGCCAAGGTTTTCTTTATCTTTTCTTGGCCAGGGATGGATATTATCTGGATCTGCCCGTCTAATAGAATGTGAGGGATTTCCATCGTATTAGTCAGAATGTATAGTAGGAACCGATCAAGATGTTAAAGGTCGTGATTTTTAAATTTTAATGCAATTTAATTTCAGATGCAGTCATACCAAGTTTTATGGTAATCACAGACAGCTATCCATCTCCTAATTCCATTGTTGGGGTGATGGGATGTGAGAGCAAGTCTGATATTGAATATACTTGTAGTATTGTCTATCCCGAGTTGCAGAGATAGGTCTAGAACTGTTCATTGTTTGCTGTGAGGTAGAGTTCTGCTTGAAAGTTTTAGCTGTTCATTTATGTTTGATACTACCGGTAATCAATTCACTTAAAGGTAGGTAATGCAAAGTTTTGGGAAATTTTGAAAATTGGATTGATAATAATTCTTTAAAATTTTGATATATTTGGATGCCCCTGTGGATGTATTATAAAGCACTAGAAAATTTAGCCCCTAAAACACTTCTGCTTTTGAGAAATTTAATAATAAAAAATTTACTGGTGCTCCCAGTGAATTTCAAATATTTCAAATAGCGTCTAAGGCCATGCCATGGTAGCTGCGACCATGAAAATCTCAGAATATGCAGTTCTGTTATATAATAGGAATAGGAAATCGGTCGATCGTAGTCAAGAAACATTGTTTGAGAGCTTAAGTAATATCAGTCTTGAGAGGGCGCGATATATACATAAAGAGTTTATTATTTACAATTTCATCACTTTAGACTCGATTTCAACCGCGACAACGATCATTGAATATTGTAAAATCGCATATGCTTCCAATATGTTCATTTGAACCAAAGTCATGATCCCATACCAAAACTTTGTATTACCTTTAAATTACTTCAAAATATTCCTCTTTTTTTAAATTTTCAACAGAGCTATTGCTGCCTCAGCTCCAGTATGGCAGTTCACAGGCCTGACTCCATGTAACACACAATATCTTACAATCAGTAAAGACTTCCAGGCTGCCAACCAACTTTGCTATGATTCCGTCCACATGAGCTGGGATGTCATCACAAGAATTGGCCAGACGGGTGGGTAATTGAGAGGGTGTGTCGATGCGGGAAGGGTAATGAGCGGAGAGGATGTGAAGGGGATGGGTTAGGAGAAATGGTCATTTATTTATATTCTAGGTGGTGGTGGTGTTGGTGATGATGATGATGATGATGATGATGACGATGATGATGGTGATGGTGATGGTGATGGTGGTGGTGGTGGTGGTGGTGGTGGTGATAGAACAGTGATCATCATGTTAATGATAATCTTTTATATTTATATTTGGTAGTGATGATAAAGATGATGATGATGACGATGATGATAATAACAGTAGCGATGACAAAGACATCAATGATAAAATCATCAAAATATTTACAAGTACCAAACCATATTAGCACCTTTAATCTGTTGTCTATTTCAGCCATTACATGTGAACCACGTCTCTCCCCTTACAGCATCTGGTCGTACCAAGCTTGCCCAAGCCATGAAGTTATGTAACCCTCTAAAGACAACAGCAGATGTGGATGGTCTAATATCCTGGTTAGCTGGAAGCTGGTTCAATCTAGCGATGGTAGATTATCCTTACCCAGCGAACTTCCTGGAACCACTTCCTGCCTTCCCCATCAAGGTTTGTTTCCATTGTCTCATATTGTACATATATCTGTTTCATTTGGCAGTGTAATTGTAACATCGCTTGAAGGAAGTGTAAAAAGATTGCTCAAGGTTGTATTTTTTTCCTTCATTCATGACTAAAACAATATACTTGTGTTTGCATTTCCTTGTACTATGTAAATGTGTCACATTCATTTTCTTGTCCTCATTGCCTTGATTATCATCCTCTGTTATGTATGAAATCTTTTGTTTGATGATTTTTCACATTTTTCACTGTTCTTGTGGAATAAATATAATTTTCATAGTAATAATGTTACAATAAACTGTAGTATGATGTAGATTTGTAAATGAAACTAATCATTATTAAACACTACTCAACATTGTAAACGTCACTTGTTAAAAGCCTGAAGGACGTTACATGTAAGAGGGTCCCATCACAGGGTCCCGACTATAAGCAGATTTCTGCTTCTAAGGGTTCCTAACCATTATATTGTATTGTATATATAATAAAAGAATTTTACATGCCCTTCTGGCTCTCAATATCTGATATTATTTTATTTTGATGAATTTGGCATTTAATTACCGGTACATATCAAAATACCGAAATTTACATATATGTATAGCATGATGAGTGTAATGCTTGAAAGTACTTCATAAGAAGATACCACTATTATATCAATTATACTAATTTCTTCACAACAGGAGGTGTGTTCGTACTTTAAGACGCCCTCACCGACCGATGACCAGCTACTCGCTGAGCTGACTGGAGCTCTGGGTGTCTACTATAACTATACTAGTAGCATCCAGTGTTTCAATCTCAGTCAGGATGCCACAGCTAGTCTAGGAGACCTCGGGTGGAGCTTCCAGGTTAGTTTCTAACTTTGATGTGTTCCCTCAAGAAGGGTGCGAACACAAACTTCTGTTGTATTTTTCAATTTTAAGTTTTGTAATGAAAGGATTAAAGTATACAAACAAAATCGAACAGTGCTGAAAATTTAGATGTTGTACTGACAATGAAGCAATGTGTAGATGTAGTTTAAAGATGTGTAAAAACTCTAAAAATCATATTTGTAGAAGTGTGGATCATTTTTTGTTCTTCTGTCAAGTATAAAACTTCCCTCGAATATAGAATGTTTAAGCTTCTTATCATCTCCTCATTTCCTTTCCTGTAAACTTTAAAAGTAATATTTTGTGCAGATTTGTCATTTTCCAATATTTGAATACCTTGAATTTAAACCTCTTCACACATTGTATGATCCATTTGTGATTGATTTGGGAATTAATTGCAATATCAGTATTAAATGAAAAATTAAAAATATAGCATATTCTTTCCTGAGGTTTGTTATATGAACGGTAAGGATAGAATTGCAAAGAATCGTAGTCAGAGGAAAACCGGAACAGCTTAAAATCTAAAAGACTCCTATGACTGGTCTCATGTTCCCCTTTTCTCCTACTACAACGCCTGCAATACACAGTGCTTATGATTTTACTATTCATTTCATGATTAGGAACCGGTAGTGGATAGATTTTAGATTTATCAAGTTATTTCCAATCATCTTTTGATAGTGCAATTACTTCTAAAATATGGTCATAGTCACATCGTATTTCGTGCTGTGGCTTATATCTTCCGTGTTTACTGTTGCCCATGAAATTGGAATAACCTTTTCAAAGCTCTTTTCATGAAATGAGTGTGACAATGTGGTTTATTCTTGAAAGATAAAGTTGATATCTTCTCAGAACTGTATTGATCCATCTCTATGACTCTTTAGATTAATCAATAAAGTTCTTCCAAGATATAAACATTAGCTATCAAGAATAAATCATATTCTCAAAATCACTTCATGAAAAGAGGTCAAAAGAATTATTCCAACTTTGTTTTTTTCCATGTCTTTGCCCCGATGGGCAATTTTTAATTTTAATTTTTATTACTTATTTATTATTCCAACTTCATGGGTAACAGCATAATCTTTATTTCCCCCTATAGGCCTGTACTGAGATGGTCATGCCATTCTGTGCTGATGGGGTGGATGACATGTTCTATCCAATGCCCTGGAACTACGATGCTCAAGTCGCCGCTTGCAAAGCGCAATGGAACGTAACGCCACGCCCCAACTGGATTGTATCCCAGTTTGGTGGAAAGAACATCACTGCATCCAGTAATATATTTTTCAGGTGTGTATCCTTATATTTCACGACATTTGTGTTGTCCAGATACATATATCATGAGGTGAGAAATAAAAATGACAGAATTATGATGTGTATCTCTATCAGAGTTTCTCAATGCTGCCATCCACACACAAAGGTTGGAAAAATAGTTCAGCTGAGGACAGAACCCGAGTCCCTGTCTTAAAATGCCACAGTATAAACCACTAGGTCACGGAGATGGGATGGTGGTGTTAGCAAGTCCAGATTCAATCCACTAACAGATTGACAAATCCTCAACCTTCATTAATCCTTCAAGATAGATGGAGGCAGGTGAAGTTTTAACTATGTCAAAAGCAGTGTGCCTCGGCTGTATCCTAGCATTGTGCTTGAATACATGAATAAGCGTGAACAATTATGTACAATGGAATGAAAGAAAGGTGGACAAATGTAAAAAACTGTGGTGACTGTCTTGAAATTAAATACACATTATGAGAAATGAAAATGAGAGAATAGTTGTATTAAGCTCTACCAATGATTCTCAATGCTGCCATACATGTGAAATTTTCCCAATTTTTTCTCCAGAAATCATTCCGACTTGTGCGTGCATTAGAATGCTTCAAGAATCTATTATCATTATGGATCTGGTACATTGTGAATGTGATTATAAGTAAGATCAGGATGTAATGCTTTCGCAAATATTTGTTCTTCTCCAGCAATGGACTTCTGGACCCCTGGCATCTGGGCGGAGTCCTGACCGATCTCTCCGACACCCTGGTGGCTGGGATCATACCCGATGGAGCCCATCATCTAGATCTGAGAGGAAAGAACAAGCTGGATCCTCCCTCGGTGATTGCTGTTAGAAACCAAGAGAGAGAGAACATCAACCGATGGATAGCAGAATGGTGGGTCAATAAAACGTAGAAGCAGCTGATCATGAAAGCTACTAACTTTAATTATGCTGCATTATTGTAGAGCGCTTAGAGACTTCTGATAAAGTAAGTGTTAGGCGCTATATATATAAGCAAGGATAATTTTTTATAGTATGAAACAAATAGTCTATGGAACAATATAATCATGTAAAATCTAAAACTTTTGTTGGCATAAAATGTTTTCAAATTTTGCGAGTAGTTCAGGATCACTAGAATTTCATATCGTGAAATACTTGAATCATACGTGCAATCGACTCAAAACTCAATTTTGTGCATTTCACGAAAGTTTCATGCCTTGAAAATTGCCATCCTAGACATTTTGCAAAAGATGTTGGTTTCACAGTTCCCAAAATTAATCTGATCAATTAATACAGAGTTCTAATTTTGTTTACAGGTATACTATGCTTTTCATGCATTGTCTTTCTTCTCATATATTTCATATATAATATATATGTCATAATAATGTAGAAAATGCCTTTTTGAAATATTTTGTTTGTATTTCCATGTAAACTTACCCTTTCAGGTTGTGCTTATAGACAGTCTTTCTTTTTATTTCAAGAAAGAAATATAGATATTGATATACTACAAACTAACTGAAATATTTGTTGAAATTATTCACAGGTTAAAATATTAGATATTTAGTTCTAGAAATGATGGATAATCAATTCTCACAGAATCAAAGGAAATTAATCCTGAATGTTCAGACTACCAATAATAAATGATATGCTGCATATATGGTCTCGGTAGAAGGCTTATTTGGGGAATTGGATACCATGTGCTGAACATGTGGTCTCTGTGTGCTAATTAAGATTTGATTTTATGAAAGATGATTTTTCAGCAAGTTCTTGTGAGCTTGTCTTTATTTTGCTTTTTGAGAAAGAAAAAAAAATGCTGCATGATAATCAATCCAGAATGGAAAGCAATTTTCTCTCTGAATGCCATTGAACTGTTCAAATGTAGAATTATTTTTCCTTGATTAACTTTGATCTCCTTAATAAATATAGATTTAAACGATTGTGCTTTTGAAGAGGGTTATGCATTGTTTGAAATAGAGACACTACTGTAACTTTTTAAGGTAAAATGTCCAGATGTTTTTAGTAACATGCCGTGACATGTAGAACCAGTTGAACAGATTGCATCTATCAGCATGAGAATTCTTAGGAAAAAAATGTTGTTTTCTTTCCTCAGTGGGAGTAGTAATTCTTTTCCCCAATGAATTTTGTGTAGCTGGCTGATATTGTAAGTTCTTACATTTGGTAATTTCATGTTGATACATGTATGTGATAATTGATAGCATTTAGATATATTTTTTCAAGTTCAGATTATAACAGATAATATTTAATACACAGATTTTATACAACAGATGTTAAACATTAAAACAAACAAAAATTGTAAAGCAATTGGTAAAATATATTTCTCTTCTTGTAGAACATAAACCACCAATGACAATTTATCTGTGAAAGAAAAATACACTTACTTTTTTGACAAACAGTTCTTACATTTATCTTGAATTCCTTTATTTTAGAATGTTTTCTCAATGACAGATTGGGAGAGAGAAAAGTATGGGAGCATGAGTGATGTGTTGACAGAGAGAGGGAGAAGTAGAGAGACAGGGAGAGAGAGAGAGAGGGGGGGGGGGGAGAGCAAGAGAGAGAGTCAAATTATCCCACTGCGTACATGTATTTTTCTACACATTGACGGTGCTGCAAGTATCCGTTTATCAATGGTGAATAAGTGAATTAAGAGAGTTTATAAACCCCTAAAAAAGTCTGAAAACTCAAGTATGATTGATCATAGCTCTTGTCATGGCATATTCATTGCTATGTCAAGTATCATTTGAAAGTTTATTTATTCCTTTTTAATATGCTATCATTTTATAGAGGAATAAACACACTTTCTAATGACAATAATCAATGCGATGAGTATGCTACGATAAGAGATCTATAATCTATCCAAATTGAGTTCCCAAACTGTTTTGAGGGGTATATTTGATAGTGAATACCGGTAGTTAAATTTTGTTGAGCAAGGGTATAATAAAATTGTGAATTAAGAATATTTATTTAATTTTTCTTTTGTAAATGAGATAAATGTGACATCATTCTGCTTGAAACTTGCAAATAATTTCCAAATGGCATATATTTTTATGTGAACCCGATTTTTGACTTCAGCATTTATAAAAAGAAAAACAACTATCAAACAGTCCACTCTAGGGTATTAAGTCTGTTTCAATGCGAAATTCAACATTCAATATGTCATTTTTCCCCAAAAAAATAAGGCTACAACTTATACATGAAAATCTAGATTCTTGATCGAGATTTTTCCTCCCACTCTACAGGTGTTAACCCCTTCCCTCCTGGAACTGACAAGCATTTGTATTGAGCATACGAGAATGAGAGATTTCAGGAGTCAACAAATTCATGCAAATTTAACAAAATGGGGAAGAAATGTAGATCATTTGCTGATTTACTTAATGTTTTTTATTCCTGGAATACTTCATAAACACCAATGTTTAATTTTCTTCTGTAATGGGAATATTTTGAAAGATCGGTTGGAATATAAATATGGAAAAAAGAAACACAGTTTGAAATTAAAGACAAGCAGACAATTTGATTACATATTATAACATTCATCAATTCTTTATTACTGGACAGATAGAAATCATTTTTTCTTTTGGTGAAGCCACATGACCATACAGAAACACACAATAGATTGAGCATTTGGCTTTGATACAAACAAAACATACATTTATATACAATAAAGACACAAAACAGAGACAAATGTATTGTATCTTTTCAATTAGAAAGAATTAAATCAATACAAAACTTTCTTTAAAAAAACCCACTTCAATCACAATTTGAGAATGTTGACACTCTTTGTTGGATTCTAGTTTATGTAAAATTCAATTAATTAAATTAATAATATACATTACAAAATTGGTTTTCATGATTATTAATTTGAATAATTACATTTCATTGAGATACCATCTCTCATACTAAATCACGCCTTCAAAGTATGTCATTTATTCAAAGTAATTCAAAAGTTACCTAATGTTTTTGTCTTGCAATATCGATGTAACCTGTTAATTGTTAACATGCTTGCATGTGAAGTCGTTAAGTAGGTATTTCGTTGGTTCTTTTACCAAAATATATTTATACATGTTGTATATATAGTCATAGTATCTATATGACATGACATTTTTTGTAATACATGATCAAAATCAAATCAATTCATAAGAACAAGTATGTTTCTCTACAAACGAGTGATTGAAAATATTCATACACATTTCTGCACTGTCTCAATAAGGACTAAACTATATAAATATTGTTGATTCCTGATACTGTTATCTCTTTATATGACACTGTTTTGTATTCTTTCACAAACTTAAGTGAAGTAGAAAGTACTTTCATTCAATGTAATCAAAGCAGGACATGACTGTTTTGTGCAATACTTTAGTTTATCACATCATATTCACACAACCACAGAGTTATATTTACAACACCTCAGTGATAAAACCACATAAACATCAACCCTATCTTCGCACTTTAAAGGAATTTTTGTTCCTATACAGAGCAAACGCTGCTGACCAGTAATATTAACCTAACTATATGGATTTTTGTATATTTCTACATTGTTTATCAGATAGGAAGAAATTTGAAACTGTCTACACTTTTAAAAAAGTATATGATTTGATTTGATTTGATTTGAAAAGGTATTTATTACAAACCACATGGCAGCTCAACAGTTGAATTGAGTGAAATTCACATCATACAAAAATCAAATAAATGCAATACAAAGTAAATATGATACAATTTGACATTAAGACTTATACTTTAGTTAAAGAGAAATTCATTGTAGCTAAAGCATGTAAATTGAAATAAAATAGGGTGAAATTAAACTTCATACAGATCAACGAAGGATAGTAGTATAACTTAGTATAAAGGAGTAAGGAAGGGGATTTGACTATTTCTATGTCTTTCAGTCCTGCTCCGCAAGTTCACAAATTTGCTAGTGTTCCTGGTGTTGTATTTATGTTTACTACGTGGGGGCAACAGGTGCTTTGAAGAAGGGTCCAGCCTCGATTCAGCAAACATGACACAGAGACTGTACCTTCTGTATCTGATGGTTGGTAGCTTTAGTTGATCTATAGCATCAAGGTAGCGTATATTGTTATAAAGGGTTAAACATCCTGGGTAGATAATGCTCTAAATATTTTGACATTCATTTCTATCATAATACATATTAAATATACCAAGGCTCAGTACCTCAAATTAATATATATTTCAGAATCAACTCTAGAATTTGTCATCACAAAGAATGATTTCCGGTATAGGTAGATAGAAGTGCTATTTTATAGCAATTCAAAATAACACACTTGAAGAAGAAAAAAAATCTATCCTCGTTCTGAAATCATAATTAAACTGCATGTTCTATTTCTCTATATGATCGATAATTGTCTTTGTTTAAACCTTGTCATAGTGAAACAACAATTACAAAAGACAAAGAGGTGAAGAGAAAGAAAACAGCAAAAACATGTTAAATTTTAAATTCAATACAAAATAAATGAACAAACAAACAAGCTAAAGAGTAAACCACTACAACATAAAATCTATCAAAAACATACATCAATATCTACAAACAATTCAATTTGTATACAACAGTCTGTATCCATAGAAGAAAGGAAAGAACTAGCAGAAAGCTTGGGAACAATTGCACATCATTCACTTACGATCCTAGCAAGTATCATGAAAGATAACAAAATTACAAAGACATAAGTACTGTAGATTTGAGACTTTAATAATCTCTTCTTTTCTACAAATTCAAATTCCCATCTAATCTCCATATCTTTGGGCCTCAACAGTTCTGAACAATTACTGGGCAATTACACAAAATGTTGCCAATTTAATACTCACAGAGATTTTATGTTTTACTCTGCAATAAGTTGTTGCATGAAAAATCATCACTGGATAAAAAAAACACCAAATATGATATGATGGATCCAATTTTTGTGCGCAATGAATTAACAGTATATTACCGTCTACACAATAATGAAGAAATACAATAAATTCCTTCATTCAGGCATTACAATGAACAATCAGATATGTTTGTTAAGATATTTATCAATCTTGTACTGTGTAATAGCTGGAAATATATATATATATATATGTATACTGATAAATACATGGGTAACCAACACATAAGAATACTTTACTAATGGCTAAACATGGCTTCCTTTTATCCTACGGTATAACAAATACGTTCTGTAAAAATCAAACTTGGTCCAATTTATCATAAAACAGTACATGCTCACTTTAGTTTTTACACAGATGAAAAGGTGATTCATCAATATAGTCAAGACTGGAAAAGGCACTTTTAATGAGACCCCTTCATGAAACAACTGTTTTGTATGGAAGAAGAAGAACTGGACACGACCCACACACTGAACCCTGATCCTTCAGAGTATCACATACTTGGACGACATTCACTACCCATCATTGGCTTGGGAAAATTCCACTTTGTAGAATTATCATAAACCACTAAATTTGGAACAATTAACCACTTTGTTAAAAACCCATCTACCGGTAAGACAATCACAACTATAAACTCCTGGGACAATAACCACATGGACAACAATTCCTTAGACAATGACCACCTTATCCAGGAAAAATCACCACTACTCACTGGGACAATTACCACATGGACAACCATCCCTCTGAGAATTATCACATGGACAACTTTTCCCTTGCACAATAACCACTTTGTTAAATACCCATCTAGGACAATCGCCACTACCACCCTGGGATAATAACCACATGGGTATCTATCCCTCGGACAATTTCCACATGGACAACTATCCCTAAAACAATCAAACATCCGTTATAATTACCATCAGGACAATTACGACCAGTTAGAATTATATGTAGAATATTTTGGATGATCATCGACCAAGTATCAAGTGCTCCTACCGTCACAACTGGGGCCTGTTTCATAAAACTAGTTATCTATAACAACTGCTAAATTTCAGATGCCATGATTTCAGTAGCTTATAACAGTAGCTTGTAACTTGTTATTGATATCAAGTTTTATGAAACAGGGCCCAGATCTTTCAGAAGTAAATTGACAAAGAGCACAAGGGGGCGATCAGTGATTGCAGGAATATGTTTAGGATGAATGATAGGAACACAAGAAGAGAACAGGACGTAATGCAGAGAGAAACATACAGCAATATGACAAGAGCAATAAAAAGGAAAAGGGGCTATATGAAATACCTTATTGATTTTCATTGGAAGAAATAATTTCATGAAGAGCTACAAGGAGTTTCACATGAAAGAAAACGGAAAAAAATCTTTCTCTCTGGGGTCACCAACAAGCAGACAACTTGACAGGGAAGAACATGAACAAAACAGAGAAGTTAACATTCAAGAGAGATGTCAACTCCTATTACACTCTTACACTGATTCAACACACCTTAGCTTTGGGCACTCGACGAAAAT